CCACCATCAGCAAGAAAGTGTCCGAGGCACATGGTCATTCCCTCCGGCCGTCGGCGCCCCAAGTCGACTGCCACCCCCACTACAAGGGCGCGCGCTGAGCACGGGGCCCGCTGCAGCAGCTGCAGCCTGCGGTGGCATGGTCGCAGCTCGTGCCGCTGCAGATGGTGAGTAGTGTCGACGACCTCCAGCGCCGAGCGCTCCGAAATTTTTCTCAGGCCACCAAATTTCGAATGGACTTCAAACCCGTCATTTCACCACGCCCATCTCGTGGAGTTCCGACGGCGTAGTGGTTACCATTGTCGGACAGCACTTTTGCAACACTTTTAGGTATTTTGGAAAAATTACCAGGTCGGAAAAAACTAGGTCGGACAATAATCTAGCTGCACCGTGTTCCCGGCGGCGTCCTCGACAACACACCGACTTACCCCCACTTTGACGGCGTCCCTGGCCTCCGGCGGGCAGATGACGAAGCTGCGGTACTCGTAGCCTCGGATGGTGGGTCCGAACACGTCCTGCACCAGGCGCAGGTACTCGGGGTCGTAGCTGTACGACTTGATCTGCGGAGCAGCATGGAGAGCGATCGTCAGCCAGGTCACAGCCAGCCAGGCGGGCTCCGCCGCCAGAGGGGTTGCCTGCCGGCGCGGCGCTTACCTTCTCCGCGACGAGGCGGGCCGCGGCCTCGCTGCGCGCCGAGACGAGTACCAGGCGGGGCAGGTCCGCGGCCGCGTTCACCGCGCGCTTGGGCTTGGCGTGGGGGCTCAGGATGGTGTGGCCGAACATGCCGGTCATCGAGTGGCTGCTGACGGCGAGGTACGTCTGGCGGTCGAACTTGAACGGGGTGTTGGCGGTCACCAGCTGCGGGACGAGAGAGAGAGTGAGAGAGAGGTGGTGGTGTCAGGGAGCGGCAACGACGTCATCGTGGAGTCCGCGACACGCACTGGAGGGACCGTTACCTTCATGCGGCCCTCAGCCAGGGCGCGGCAGGGGAGGTCCGTGGCATGGTTGATGGTGGCGGGGATGACGCCGTGCTCCATGGCCACGACGCACTTGGCGATGCCCACCATGCCCGAGGCCACCTCGGTGTGCCCGGTGTTGCTCTTGACGCAGCCGACGAGCAACGGGTCGGCCCGGGACCGGTGCTTGCCGAGGACGGCGTCCAGCGCGTCTAGCTCGAACGTGTCCTGGAGGGGGAGGCCGACGCCGTCGCCCTCGACGTAGGCGACGCGACGCGGGTCGATGCCGCTCCGCCGGTACATGTCGGTGAGGAAGGCCTGGATGCCGGCCGGGTTGGGCAGCGTCGGGTCGAACCGCAGGCGCGCCCCCAAGTGCGTCGTGTTGGAGGCGACGACGCGGCAGTAGGAGCGCTTGGCGAGGTCGGCGCGCTGCACCAGGAACGCGACGCAGCTCTCGCTCCGGTGAGTGCCGCTCACT